ATAGATTTAAATCATTCAAAGGAAAAAAAAATCCCAATTACCTGGGTAGTCAGAAAGCTGAAATGAGATCTTGCTAGCTGGGAAGGAAAAGTAGTCAACGGGAACAGGAGGTGATGGAAGGAAGGACTTAGGCAGGAATGTGCATCATTGGGAGATGCTAGATGAGTTTGGCCCATCTGAATGTAATGATAAAAAGAATGTCGAAAGGTTTATTTGGCTCGGTGCCTGTGGCTCAATCGGCTAAGGCGCCAGCCACATACACCTAAGGTGGTGGGTTCGAATCCCCAGCCCGGGCCCGCGAAACAACAATGATGGCTGCAACCAAAAAATGACCTGGCGTTGTGGTAGGCGCCTCTAGTCCCAGCTACTTGGGAGACTGAGGCAGGAGACTTGCTTAAGCCCAGGAGTTGGAGGTTGCTGTGAGCGTGATGCCATGGCACTCTACCCAGGGGGATAGCTTGAGGCTCCGTCTCAAAAAAAAAAGGTTTATTTGAGTTTGATGGAGAGCCTTATAAAACATAATTTGGGAATTTTTTATGGACAAATTTAAAAATAATTTTTAAAGGAAAAACTCCCAAGTAATCTACATACCAATCCCCATTATCTTCTCTACTCCCAGGGTTAAATATTTTGTTATATAACTTGCAGTCTTATGTAAGTGCCCTCACTTACTATGAGTTGGGAAGATCTTCAACTTCTTCCAACTATGTTGATGAAAAGGTCTTGATACTCCTGGGAAGAATTTCTAGCACTTCCCTTTTGCTAATAAAGGTGTCCTCAAGTGCCCAACCCCTGGGTGATTACAAATGCACAAGTGTTAAAAATAGAGCTCATACTCTAAGGAATCAGCTGTGAAATGCTGTTTAATAAGCAAAAATTTCACATAACTCAGGCCTCTGGGGGCTCATGCCTCAGCTGGAGCAAAGCCAGAAATGTCTGTGACTGCAGGTGCACTTGGGCGCATTGGGACCTGCCGGAACAGGGGGCTGGCCTCACTGTAGATGATTTAGGAGAGGACTGGGGTGGGGGGAGGTTAAGCTTTAGCTGACATTTGCAACTTGAAAATCCTGCTCTACTAATTGCAAAGAGGATTCTGCTGCAATGATTTTTATAAGATATATTTCTCCTTTTGAATTCATTCTTCATTTGGGCCCTGGATGCTTCCCAGTGTCTATTTTTGCTGTTTTAACTCCTGTTACAGGATGCTTTTCAGGAGTTTCTACCTGCCCATGAATGTACTTTCAGTAGAGTGGTGCATGGCCACGTTACAAGCCTCAGTGTGAACTTCATGAGCAAGCAAGTATACAGTCCCTTTTTACAGGAATTGGTGCACAGTCCTTCTTCTTGCCCAAATGAACACGTGGGGATTTTTTTTTTTTTTTTAGACAGAGTCTAGCTTTGTAGCCCTCAGTAGAATGCCATGGCGTCATGGCTCACAGCAATTTCCAACTCGGGTTTAAGCAATTCTCTTGCCTCAGCCTCCCAAGTAGCTGGGATGACAGGCGCCCACCACAGTGCTCGGCTATTTTTAGAGATGAGGTCTCGCTCTGGCTCAGGCTGGTCTTAAACCTGTGAGCTCAGGCAATCCACCCACTTCGGCCTCCCTAGTGCTGA